ATAACGCCCACGGAATTTACATAATCCTGACATTAAACTATATTAATTAAAGCCCTGCAATATCAATTTATTTGTCAGTTCTTTGTTTTGGTTTAAAAATTGTCCTTACTCAGGTCATGTTCTTGCATACCAAATAAACACAATATAAAGGTGATAGAGGGAAAAAATAAATTATATATAAATATTTTAAAAATGAATCGGAAAATCGCAGTGGAAAAGCTGAAAACATCCCGTTTAGTTATTTGAGTATCAACAATATAGAAGGCAAAACATCAAAACTTGAAACAAATGAGGCGGACTCCGCAGTTTTTCCAGTTCACTAGTATATATTGAGTCTACCTATGAATGAAACTATTAATTACTTAATTATCGATAAAACGTTGGCGATATTTTTAAATGTCAATTTGAAGATCACAGTACGAGTTTTCTTCTCATGAAGAGGTTTTCGAATTGATTATGTTTTGTAATAATATAAAACAGGTCGGCAAATAAACAAGCACAGTTAGTGGGCATCGGAATTTCAATAGGTTGTGTGCAGAAGCGAATAAATTTTAACAAAGTAATTATTTAGATGATTAATCACAAGATATGAAAATTTCCGAGTTCCATTTCTGTGCCGCTTGCAGAGCACAGCAATACTTAGAGATAACTTTGTCCGGTGTCTGACTGTCTAGCTGTCTATCCGTCTGTCAATCCCAGTATCTTGGAATTGTTAGAGGTAAGGGTTTCATATTTTATTCCAGTATTACTTTGAACACTGGCTTTTGTAAAATACTATGGTAACCGACTTTTTGCCTTTTAAACTTGACCTTGACCCACTTTTTAAAATACAATATAGTGCCGATATACACATTTTACTTTTTCTCTGAGAGATAAGTCTGTGGCATTAAGCAAATACGCTGTTTGTCAGCGTTATAGTCCACTTAACCTTGACTTTTGACCTATTTTTTAAGAATACTCCGAACCGTTAACATATGGTTTTTAAATTTTGAGAGATAGGGTTTGAATAACTATCATTTACATGTATATACATGTTTCTGACCTTGTGACAAATTACTTTCAAGCTGCATTATATTTGTTAACCACATAAACTTAAAATAAATGCATTCTGTTAGCAATGAAACCCTGCCATAGCCGGTCCCAAGTCCGGATGAGAAAAGAGGAAAGTTGTTTGTAGGGCCAGCAACCCTACCTTGTAAAACCCACACTTGCTACGGAAATGATTACAAAGACCAATATTTCAACAAGTAGATGGAGAGAAGCAGGCCTTACATCTGCAATTATGACGTCACGATAAACTGCCCCATAGCAGACGTCCTGATATTGAAACAACACATCCGAGTTGGATGCTGGAATATCCGAACATTATACCAAATCGAAAGACTGGCACAAGCAGTATATGAGATGAAACGAATGAAAGATACTACCCTGCTGGCCATGAGTAAAGTCAGGTGGACAGGAACAGGAAAACAAAGATTGAACTCTGGGAAAGTCATTATATGGTTAGGGCGACGTAATAACATGCAATCAGGAGAGAGTATCTTTTTTTATCAGCCAGAGGTTTGCAAATACCATCCTTTAGTGGAAGTCTGTCAGCGAACATCTACTGTATGTCAGACTCAACACCGGGTACACGAAGGTCTCCATTTTGAGTGCTTATGCACCAACTGACAATGCAGAAGAAGAAGCAAAAGTTATAGACAACTTCTACAGCTCTCTACAGACAATACTTGATGACTTCAGAAGGCATAATGTCACACTACTGATGGGCAATTTCAAGGCAAGAGTTGGTCAGAGTATCCATAATAAAAGTAGATTGGTGGGTCAACATGCAGTAGGCGACGTCACAGATAATGGAAAAAGGCTCATCAGCATGTGCAAAGAAAATGATTTGTCATAGGTAACTCTTTTTGCTCATAAAACCCTCCACAAACTGACCTGGACATAACCAGATGGAAACATCAAAAGCCAGTTAAATCACATCATGATCAATGGTAAGCTGAGGCGCTTTCTTCAGGATGTAAAAATATGCCGATATCGGTAGTGACCATTACCTTATAATAGCAAAGATTAATCTTAAGGTCAGACAACACGTTCCTCAATAATATATTTTTTGTACAAGATACCTAAGGATGTTAGCTATTAAATTATCCCATTGGAAATTACTAGCATTGCCAATATTACTATTTTTAGCCTTTATCTACTTAGGACATTTTAAAAAAGTTTTAAAATCATAAGATAATGACAATTATGATTTCTTTGTTGTATATTTTGAAGAAACACGAAACAAATATTCGAGATACTTGTCGTCAGACCTCAAGCTGAGAAAGGCAAAGGTTGCGACTAGTAAGAGCAAGCGATTCGATGTTATCAAGCTCAAGGACCCATATGTCAGAGAATAGCTCGATATCACGCTCAGGAACCGATAAAGTACACTCCAAGATGAGATAGATATCATCATCAAGAAATTCCACTAGGTCATGAATGATGCTGCTTGAGAAGTGTAAGGCTACAAGAAATGTGCCAAAGCAGAATGGATATCCAAAGACACGATTTATCACAGAAGAGAGGAAATAACTAAAGTAAAATCTTCTAAACGCCAAGTAAAGAAGATTGAAAGAAATGGCAGCGACATTAAACAGAGAAAAAGATAAGGAAGTGAAGAAATCAGCGAGGAGAGATAAGCGCCACTACACTGAGCAACTTGCTTAAGAAGCAGAGGTAACCACTGAACGGAAAGGCATGAAAAGCGTTTTCCAAATCACGAAGAAACTTAGAGGTGATCAGCATTTTTAGAAGATTCTGAATCGACCAGATCCATTGAAACTCATTGACACTGAAGAGGCATAGACAGACCTCGAGATCGAAATGGGCCGCATTTCACTGAGCCAAGTTACAAGTGTAATCCACAGACTGAAAAATGGTAATGCTCATGAAAGGATGGTATATGTCCTATGATGCTGGAAGCAGAAGAAAAAGATTCATTCTACATACTGCAGGGTATCCCCCAAGATATATGGAACAAAAAAGGATATTCTAGATGACTGGAAGAAATGAGTGTTCATCTCACAAGCAACGTCTTCAGCCTCATCGTAGTACAAAGAATTACAGCTGCCGTAGAAGACACACTACGCCAGGAGCAGGCCGGATTCAGAAAGGAAAATCTTGTATCGACCACATACTTGTACTAAGGCAGATCTTAGAGCAGTGATTTGATTGGAGCAACAAATTCTGTGCTGTTATGTTGCTTTTGCAAAGGCTTTCGACACTGCCGATGGCTTGCTCACGTTCTTTGCTCCCCCCCCCCCCCAACTAGCTGCATAGAATTGCTCTTTGATGGACAACCCAAGGAAAAAGGAACAGAGACCGGTCAATGGAGATCTGAAGGATAACCGTTTTCAAAGAACTGAAGATCAGGGGTCTGACCATGCATGGAGACAACACCTCGAGTAGCTGCAAATAGAGTCAGATGAATATACCTTGCAATCGCCTCAAGCACCAGACGGCGCAAAAAGAGTGACTTAGTAATAGAACATCATGGATTCTTTTCCTTCAAGTCGTCTCCCCAGTTGATGGAAAAGGCCGACTAATGTTCTCGACTTAACGGAAGAGGCTTTATGTTGATTGGATTGTCCAGTAACTTGTCTGAAAATTTATCGGGATCGGTATACCGATTTTGGATCGTGAATCTGGGATTTCAATTCCTGAATTAATCTTGTAAATGAATACTTCAATTGAATTCAATTTAATTATTCATTTTAACTTTTATTCCTATCAATTGTAGCTTTTTTGGTTGTTTGTTCGGTTGTTTTTTTTTTCTGATTTAGCAATTTAAAAAAAATGTTACCACCCTTGAGCTTTATTTATGTCTTTAATGATGCTATAGCAGGCGACACATGCGTTCCTCTGAACACTCTACCTATTGAAGAAGCGGTTATTTAAAACGTCAAGATGCATGGTCTGTAATTTATCGTAAGGAATGATTGTTAAGTGTTGACAAGTATCAATGTTATTGATAATATTTTGGACAAAAAAGTTATAAATTTTCTAAAAATTCTTAAGAGTTATTGACAGTACAGCAAATTCATTTGTTAAAAGTATTTAAAACTGAAACGTGATTTTGAGAGAATTTCATCCTTTGAAATGGAACTGTGGGTAAAAGATGGATAACCAGTAGATCATTAATGTAGGATTCAAACCATTCTTACTTGCATTTTAGTAATGATCCTTATAAAGACTCTATTATATTGTTACAAGCTTTGTCAGCTGGAACCGATAAATTCCTATATTTCAGATATATAATGAATCTATCACATGTTTGTGAAATCCAATGGGCCAAATGCTCCCCTGAGTACGCATTTTCTGTATATTTTTTTTTAACTGTGTAATAATTATTGTGGCTTTTTAGAAAGGTACCCAGTTTAAAGGAGAGTACATTCATTGACCACAATATTTTTGACAATCCTGTATAGCTGTTGGTTAAAGTAATGATACGCTATCGAAAATTTATCTCTGGAAAGGAACTGTGAATCAAAGTTATTGAGTCATTTAAATGCATAGATATCCTACTTACTTATATTGTATATGTATTAAAGAGATATTTTGAAACAAACGCACGAATAAACCAGGAAATAAATCAAATACATGTATTTTCACAATATGAAAGATGTGCACATTTAATTTTCATTGTTTCTTTTATTTTTGTTTGTTCATTTGGTACTGTCACAACGGGGAACATGTTCAATAACATTTCTATAAGATTGTTTACTTCACGAATTGGGTACTTGACTTATTATTGACTCATCAACATTACACATAGCTATGACAAGTCTTATTTCCTGCATTATAACAACTCTATAAGGACTTCATTCATTTAAGAAAACAATGACCCATCATCAATGAATCAATAAGACCTTGTTATAATGTTGCACAATGACGTTTGTTCAAAACCTGTGCAATTTTGTCTACATGATAGGTGGATGAAATGCAATTTATAATATTACACACTGACTAATGAAACTTCTGTGATTATTTGTATATGATAGGTGGGTGAAATGCAAGGTCTGTATTCTTTAAATTCGTATATTAGAATAAATTTTCATATTTTGTTTTATCAAATATGATCGAAAATATTTAATAAGCATCTTAAATACATGTAAAACCAATCTTTCGTTATACATGTATTCCCACAAAAAGTACATGTATTTTCTTTTACTATATATACGAAGCTGACAAAATATATGAATTAGGTTCTGTAGTATATTGTTATTTGTTTTGCTTAACCACTATTTTGTCTTACGTTTGTCCTTGTAAATCCCTTTCCACTTGTGAATAAAAGTATATTTTTGTTGTTTACTTGGAAAGACACCATTGAACGGATAATTTTCAAATCTGCATTACTAGACAAAGACATTAACATTTTGATTTTAAAAGGTTAAAATATAATTTCACGCAACATCTTCTGTCAATTTTAAAGTGGCTTTGATTCGTTCTATAGTCAACATGTCTGCTTCTCGTCTACAGAAATATAGAAGAAAATTATACGTCACTCTAAACGTTCGACGCTAAATAGAAGTTAAATATAAGTAATATTTTCTAGATTTTAATTAAATAAGCGGCATTAATTAAATTAAGTCAAAAACATTATCTAGAAAAACTAAGTATATGTATTTTCAATGTAAGATTAGGCCAGTCAATTTGGTGAAAATCAAACTAATTGCATCATAAATCATTTTGACATAAATGAAATCTAACATGTACAAAATATTTGCAGTAATAAAATCTAAGAAAATCTAATAGAGCATAATATTGGCATGATGTAATAGGCTATAAGAATAACTATAGAAATCGGGCAAAACTCGGTAAATTTATTCCATGTTTTGCTGAAGTATTCAAAAGAAAATTCTTGTTTTTCATGAAAGCGTAACCTAATTTAAGTTTTTTGGATACAGTTTAATAGATCATTATTTCATATAGATAATATAAATTTGAAATGGATATTTCGAATTTGATTTCATAATTTTTAATTTTGAAATATTAGCATTTTTTAATTGCTAGTGAATGCATAGGTTAAAAAAAGAATAAAAAATAAATAAATTTCCCTTAGACTAAGATATAGTGCGCATGAATCATTTAATTTAGTACATAAATACTAAATATACTCTTCAAAAAAGATACGCATTAATTAAATTTTAGTGTCACATTGAACTTAAAGATTATTTAGTAGAATGGTGTATTGATGAATAAGAATTGTGGTAAACAATATGTCTATACAATCAAAAGGTCATAATTATTCAAGAATTTTACAATCATAGACAATTCAAGGTCATTAAAGATCCATATCTGTGCTCCCCACAGACACCAATGATAACCTAAAAGGACGCTTTGAGTGTATAAAAATTGTATGGGAATGCTATCCCACTCTAAATGTAGAGCTTTGGTCAGCTGCTTCAGAGTCTGGGGTGTTTGTCTTTGGTGGATATACCTATCCATTTTGTCCAATGCATACTCAATGGTGTTTAAATCTAGCAATTAAGATGGCCAAGACAGAACAGGATGCTTGTGGCTTTACAAGAATGCGTTGTCAAACAAGCCGTCAGTAGCTGTGAACTGTCAAATTGAAATACAGCTCCAGGATCTGCATTATTGGAAAGACGCATTCAATTTTAAACGGTCCTGTTAGATATTCTGTGCACTTCAGGGATAGCTAATGCTGTAGACGACGTCATTGTTAAACATTGATGAAAATTAAGCAAACCACTGCGACCCTGTGCTGTTGATGTTACGCGTGGTCTACCATAATTTTTGGCAATCATTTATTGTACCATGCTGTTGGCACGTGTATCTGTTCATAGGTTTGAAATGGTGCTTTGTGCAACATGAAAACCTCTTGCAAGTGTAGACTGTGGTACACTTGTTTCCAGTCGCCCAATTTTCTTTTTGCGATATGCAACATTCAGATGCATTTTTAGTAGCGTCAAATTTCATTTTATGTATATTTTTATATAAATATGGACAGTATTATCATAAATCTATGTTGCAGAATTTAAGTGGATTTTTGTTTTGTTTAATAATAGACGATATCAGAAGCTCAACAGCATCCTCTTATCTGGAACTGATCTCACATGATAATCCACCAAGTGATCTTGCAGAAATTACAGGTATATAAAAATATTACAGTAATTTTACATCTATCTTTGTAGACTAACACTCACAATCGGTGGATTTCTTTTACTAAACATCATTATGTCTTCCGAAATTTGTTTTAGTATCTTACTACTAAAAACATTGCTGCCTAATTAATGCCTTTTCAGTCAATGTTTTAGTTGACAAAGCTCGGATACTAATGAAACATGCTTGCACCAAAACGAATAGAAGGGAAGAAAATCCAAAAATGAATGTAATTTTGAACACAGAAAATAATGTTAGATCACGTCTTTATCCTAGTGGCAGTGATTGAAAATGCAACAAATTCATCTGCTTTACACAACCATGATGCCCCGGGCGTTTACAGTCAGCGACCACTTACAAATAATTCGGAGATAGATTCCTATGATAGCTTCAAGTACGAAAAACGTCACGATTACACAGTACTGAGGGGTAACGAGCGGTATGATGACTTACTGAATGGGAACGGGACAGGGACTGTGAAGTATGAAAGACTTACAGACCGCGTGTATAGCCTCCCGTATCAACAGGTATATTTAGCACTCATAAGCATCGTCAAACTTTATGATAATTATGCTGTTTGTAGTATGATTTCGTTCTTTCACATTGACAATGTGAGCTAGATAATTTTCATGGTGGTCATTTTTCTTTGTTTTCTTGGAATGAAGAGACCCACGTGTCCTCCATGAAACGTTAAAATTTCAAACGACAGTATCATGTAAAATTCTTCAACTATGAATTCAAATCCCAAGGAACCAATATTTTCGATAAAACCACAAAAATATGATCCCCCGAAAATTGGTGATTTTTCAGTATATTTGATATTTATAGATTAACATGGTATCCAACAATAATGAGAATCAATCGAAGAAGGAGGCGTCTTTAGCTGTCATGCTGTGCTGTTCGATTACGAGTCTTGTGGTCAATTGTCCTATTGGTGTCTTTTCTGTCTGTTATGCATATATGGTAAAATTCATAATTAAGCCTCATGTTAATTAATTTGAACAGCTATCCTAATTTCTATACATGAAATATATTTTGCAAAATTAAACTCGGTACATTCCTCTCTTCTCATATTTGTCTACTGAAATATGAACTATAACTATTTCTTTGACATACGGTTTTAGCAAAGAATTTCAACTTGAACAGTTATAACACCTATTTGAGTTTACAATTTGTAAACTATCTGTAATTTTTTTTCATTATTTTACAGGCAAAGACAGAACATTTTTATCCCATGAGAAGATACTACAAATGCATGTCTCTGGTCGTTAGCGCTTTAGCTATCTTTGGCTTTATCATCACAATCACAATAACGACAGTTATATTAGCTAATCTATCTAACAGAAATACGTAGACATTAATAAATGTGTCTATATAATCGTACGAAGTCAATGGCAAAGAAAATCTTTGCTTTACAGCATTGTATTTTTGTCTCGCATAGAAGTTTGGAGTTTACTGCATTTTATGTTTATTAATTTAAATAAATAATGTAGGTTGTAAATTCTATAACGGTATTGTACTAAATTTCGTTCAATGATGTCATAAAACTGTACAGTAACCGAAGGCATTAAGGACAGATGATACAAAACAGATAGGAATTTTGAACATCATAGAAAGTTCAGTTTACAAATTCTTAATATTTTTTAAAATTATTACTTGCATCATTTACAATCAAAATACGAGGGGTTATCAAAAAGTTCGTGGACTAGCGCCATAGAATTAAAACCGCTTGAAGTACATCAATGAATTTTAAAATAATTAGTAAGCATAATCTTTTCTATCTATAGAATAAACCACAAATCATAAGTTTTAATTTTTAATAAATTAGTATTGGTTTTGTAAGCAATGGTATGTCCAGGCGGCGCAACCTCGAACAGGACGTTTTTTCAACCTAAGTGTAACTGAGAAAAACTCTTTTGATATGAGTACTTGACATCCAAAAATCCCATTAATTCAAACATGTGACGGGACACAATTGTTCCACAAAATGTGCAATTTTAATCTCATTCTGTAAGTTCTATGAAATTTTATGGTATATTTTAAAAGGAGTGCCCAAACAATTAAGGGCTTAAAATGACGTCAAAAAGGGGGAGGGGTTTCTTTTTCCAACATTCTGTAAAGTTTTTGCCCTGAAAAAACTGGTATTAGCCTAGGGAATGTTTAAACTGTCTATAGAGAAATAAAATCCATCCAGAGTACTTGTTTTTAAATACCAAAAGAGATTCAGTAAGATGAGAGATGCATAGTTAATGTCGATTTGTAGTCAAGGTGTGAAAAGTCAATCACGTCAAAGAGTAACGTTGATCATGTGTGGTAGATATTGAAGTCCATCAAGCAAAACATGCTGGCATAATCAAGCGAGAATCTTTCCCTATGTATAGATTCACTTACAATTCTATATGCATTGAAATCAGCTGTTCATGACATTGTCATGTCATATAAACCAAACAGATTTCAGTTTTACTTAACTCCAGGGAATCTCATCAAGATAAGTGTACTGAGACAGAGGGAGTGCGCATTGAGAAATAATGACGTTGTCGGACGTCATGAAACTAAAACACGACAGCGCCGGGTGATCATATAATATCTTCTTTATTTTAAAATAATTTCACTAATTATCAACGTATCAAGCTAAAATTTTCAATACTTCTTAAACTTTTGTTGTTTAATGTTCCTTATAAATTTTGTAAACACACACTACATAGTATTAATTTTATCGCATCAGTCCACGAACTTTTTGATAACCCCTCGTAGGTCTAAAAATATATACCAATCCAGACATCTTTTTTTGTATCATCTGTCCTTCAGGTTAAAAAAACAACGATTATTATGTATTGCGAGCTGACTACTTGAGTATCCAAATTACCAATGTTTCAGGAATAAGGCCTCGGTTTTAATCCAGGTAGAGCTTATGGTTACTTGGGAAATGACCTGCTCCATAAACTATAACCCGTTCAATCATCTAGTAAATATAGGTCGGAGCCAGCATCCCAAGCTAGTCTTGCAGTGTTGATCCTTAGATGTATCAACTAAGCAAGTTAAGTCACCATAATACCTGGGAATGGACCTGCTCTAAAATTTAACCTGTTCACTCATGTGAACCTGAAGTACCTGAGACTGTAGCTCTACTGGTGTACTTAGTACTGTCTACTTGCGCAATAAGTCTTATTGTAATCTGAAAGAAACTGAAGGGGTAGCAGTATTTTGAAAGAATTTCATAGAATTTTTTAATTTTAGAAACCTTGGCAAGACCGTCTGTCAAAATCAATAAAAAGAATTAATGTGCATCCTAGTCTAGTCTAGTCAGTTTTGTATAAAGGGAGAAACAGGTCCCACGATAAGTATTCGTTAGTTATCGGTTTTCTCACACTCTCTCGGCAAGTTTCATGTCTCTTGAAAATTAAAAAAAATCGATAAAAATAAGAAAATAAGGAGTTCGATTTGAGAAAAGCCGGTAACTAACTTGCACTGGTAAAGGAACATATTTTTGTTTACAGTGATTGTACTATTGACATGAATATTTTTAAATATAAATATAAGGTTTGGTTTTCCAGGTGTGACTTTTTTTTTTCTTTCACTGCTCATTTTGCAGGGGGTTATTTTTGTTTGTTTGTTTTTTGTTTTTTTTTTTTTTTTTTTTGTTTTTTTTTTTTTTTTTTGTTTTTTTTTTTTTGATGAACCATTCGATTTTTATCAGAAAGTAGTAGGTGATTTTGGTTTGCTGCTATTTAAGTTCTTATGATATATGTAGCTGATATATTTAGTTTAAAAGTTGGAAAGTATTTCGTTTTAGCTTCCGTTTCTCCGCGCGTTTTATCGTCTCAAATGCCATTTTAATTCAAAATTTGAAAATTGAACAAGATTTGATTTGTATAAGGCCTATAATACTTGCTACTACCAAACTATTTTTACCTGAGAAAGTTTTTTTTCGAGATTTCACAATGATATCCCATAAAGTGATTTTGAAGAAAATTCTGCAGACTACATGTTTTGATGTAATAAGGGGAACTGCAAAAATATGATCGTCTTAGAAATCCTACAATTCCTAAACATTTTAGGAATTTGATTTTTGCATCAATTACAACCAAAACAAATGAAAAATATATACCAATTCATAATCCAATTTTTTGCTTGAAGCAGGTGTCCTTTAAGGAATTCTTCTTCATTCTTCCATAATAATTGAAGAATAACGTTTCTTGTACATGATGTTTGACTTGATCAACAGTGTAGCATGTTCCATGTGAAAACGAGGTATTCAAGATTTACTGTACTTCGACACGATATACCTCGTTCCAACTGTAGTTCTTAAGAAAAAATCCTTTAATTATATTTTAAAATAGTTAAAACAATGTCAAGTAAAAAGAGATATTAAGCTTGTAACAGAAGTAATCTGTTCTTGTAAAAAATAAATCAAGTAATCTACCAAAAATAAATTATTCAGTTCTATCACTCTGTCAATAAAGTATACTAGATAAATTTTCCGTTGAAACAACAAACGAACTTAAATAATATCTCCATCTGTCATTCTAACAAACACTTAAACGAAGTCAATATATCTGCAATATATAACGGTCACCTGAGAATAACAGAACACTACATAGGATCTATAAAAGTATACAATAACACAAAAACAGAAAGATGAAGATATATTGCTCAAAATCAAAAGAAATATAGTTATCAGGAATCAGTAAAATATATATAGTCAGTCTAGTACTCAGTAACAAATCATTAAGCAGATCTATTTATGCTTGAACTTGCTAGACAAGTGCTAATAGACTAATAAATTTTCACTACATAATCAATAGAGTCCCGCCCACCACCAGAACCTCTAACCCAAAGGCCATGAATTTCATATTTTTGGAAGAGGCACCCTTGCACATCATAAATTTACGATCAATTTGTCTACTAGAAACTTAGAGGCAGAGAAGATTTTTAAAGCATTTATGAATTTTCACTGTATGGTCAATAGATCCCCCCCTTAACACCAGAATCACTGACAAAGAGCCATGAATTTCGAGATCTTGGAAGAGGCACCCTTAATTGCTTATCATAATCATGCACTAAGTTTATCTGCTAAATACCCTGGGGCAGAGATTTTCAAAGAAATAAATTTTGGTAGAGTCACCCATTCTCATCATAACCATGCACTTTGTTAAATACAAATCTTCACAATGTCAAAGTTTTGTGACCCTTGAAAAAAGTCGCTATTTAAAAGTTTGGCTAGTGGTTACACATGACGTAATGGTTAATTATAAACCAACCATTGAGAACATATCTTTGAAATCCGTTGTCTTAAAGCGATTGCATGGAGGAAAATCTTCCAAAAATTAATCTCCGATATTTTATTTAAGGTAATTAGTAGGGCTGGGGTATCTGCTGGGAATTTCGTATTGCGATATATTGCGATATTTTAAATTGTATTGCGATATGTATTGTAATATTTATTATAACAGTTAAAATGCTCTTTTCTTATTTTATCAACCTTCATTTATAATCAGAGTGAATAAAACTACATGTGTGTTATAAATACATTGTAGCAAAAAAAGTTCTTTTCACTTCAGTTTTGCAATGAAATACAACCATACAACAGTAATCTTATTGTTTGGTATGATTGAAACGTTTCTGGCATCTTAAATTTCATAATTTACTTTAGAAATTCCAAGCCCAAGCCTTTTACCGATATACCGGTACTGGAAAAACGTATCGCAATACGATATTTTTTGTTAACGAATCGCAATATACCGGAATATCGGTATTATTGGGCAGCCCTAGTAATTAGTCACAAATCCTACAATATCGGCACTTTCCATTTTGAAGACAAGATATATTTGTTTACAGAACTTATCTAGAATAAAGACTGCTTTCTGATTGGTTCCAGTCCTAGACAGGGAACAAATAAAATGGTAGATTTCTAGCCCGACTTTTAGATAGCAACTTTTATCAAGAGTTTGTGTAGAGGAACGATTTCACAAAACCTTGACATTGAGAAAATGCCAGGGACAAGATTTTTAAGGAATTTATGCATTTTCACAGTATAATCAATAGAAAAACACCAGAACCCCTCACCCAGAGGCCATGAATTTTACAATTTTGAAAGAGGCGTCCTGGCTTATCATAACCATTGCATTTACTTAAATACCCATGAGCAGAGATTATCAGAGAATAAATGCATTTTTACTATATTATCAATAGAACTCTAACAGCTAAACCCCTAACCCAAGGCTCATGAACAGACCTAGGGTCAATTACTTTGAAATGTAATGCATTAAATTACAATTACTTTGGAATTTTTACCATTACTTTTTTATCATTACCATTTCTCTCATTCAGAAAAGTAATTAATCAAATTACAATTAATTTGTTAAAGTAATGAATTACATTACACATAACATTTTATGAGAGAAAAATACAAATTTTATGACCACACAATTTATCTATAAATTTACTTTATCACACTTTGTGTGATATAAATTAAATGATATAAATTGAACATAATCAAAGGTGATAAT